GAAATGCAGATCTTTTTTTTAAATTTTCTCAAAACATCATTTTCACAACATGGTCTGTTTCTATTGTCCAGACCCCAAATTTCTTCCATTTTGCAACAGGGAGATGGCGCAATTCAAGAAGCCTAGTCATTTTATCATCAATCACTTTCCCACATATACATACAAGATTAGCATGTCTAAAAGGAATTAATACCAAAAGTTGGGTATTTAACTTTGAATGGTTCAACATCTAAGACTACAAAACATACCCATTTGTTTGCCAATGAATATCTTCAACAACATTGGAATCTATTGTGATGCTTTGATCTGAAGCAAACACAGTGAAAAGAGATTCAACTTCTTTATGGGTTAAATTAGGATTCTGAAAGGGGTTTTGTATATTGAATGGAGATGTACCATTGTTGGACTCTAGAGCAAGAATGGCAAAAGTCCCAACAGCAACTACTGAATGGAGAGGAACTCCTGCCATGTGCTTGATAGCACAAATAGTACTCAGACAACCATCCCGGATCTCAGCAGCTGCACTGTACAGCCTATCAAACTCATCAATGAAGAGGACAACAGGTTTTTCATAGGTGCGTTGTGCAAACCATTTAAGGAAATCTCCTCTACATCGAAGGGGAGGTCATTCATCAAAGCTACCTTGACAACTTGATCTAAAATTATTGTCTAAATCATGGCAAAAAAGTTCTTCTCCTTGATCAATACAGATATTTTCAAAGGTTACACTAAGTGGGATAATAAAAACAGAAAAAAGTATTAAATTCAGCAATATGAATATTATGATTGAGAAGATATGAACTTACTAAAAGCAAATGAATCCAAGTTCTGTAAGCTGGTGCATGGCTACATAAGCTCGTGTTGACTTGCCTGATGCTCGAGGACCATAAAGTGCTATATATTGTTTTTTCACAATTCTCCCCAGCAGTTCTTTATTTGTTTCTTTAAAGTTGACACAATAATATAAATCAGAAGTATCAATGGGTATCATTGAATTGACCATCCAAGTTCTGATATTGTATCCAGGAAGTTCATGCCAAAAATCTAAAGAAGATTCCACAACAGTAAGCAATGTAATAATCATATTGAGTAAATATAAACAAGGACAACTCCTTATGTTCTTCTTCTGCTGGTCTTTTTCCTATAATGAATTGAAATTATTAATTAATATTAGGCATAAACTAATGGGAAAAAAACTGAGCTCATCAGGCAAATATTATGTGTATATCTTACCTGATTCTTTAATGGACAGAAAATGAACAGAAAAATTAGAGTTGATTCAGGATAAAATTTGGGAGATGGGTAAATGTGAAGAAATAAATGATATAAAAAAGATAAATGAAGAATGAAATGGATGACAAGTTAGTTATAATAGTTCAAATATTCTACAGACAAATAAATAAATGAAATTGAATGAATGAAAAATAATTTTTTGTATATTTTTTTTTATGCAATTTGATCATTACTTTTTTCTTCTACCTCCCGAAGCTTTTTACTCCACTCCAGCACCTCATCTCCCCACTTCACCTTCTCTTTCTCCAATCTTTTTTCTTCTTCTTTCAGCTCCTCCATTCCCCATCTTTTCTCAAACTTCTCCAAATTCTCCTCCTTCATAAATTCTTTTAAAT